TTATAGTGCTTGCTGAATCTCAAGACACTTATGTTGTCTGGGACCCAATAGTAGGTGGTTGCTGTGTAGTCAGGGGATAGAAGGCTCAAAGTAAGGTGAGAAGAATGTATGATTGAGTACTTTATGCACAAAATGCAGACAGACATAAGCTAGAAATGGCACAGCTGGAGAAAGATGAACTAGGGTAGGGCAAAGCCTTAGAGTACTTCTGAATTTCTTACAAGAAATGAAAAAGCAATGCTTTAGGTAAGAGGATGCTGCTGATATATTCTTGTTTGAGGTGCTTTGAGGCTCAATCAATATTAGGGAAGCCATGCTAAGATCAAGTAGGAAAAGTAGTGGGATCTGTGAGAATGAGAGGTGTCTTTTATCACCTGGAGAAGAGGTGTCAGCATGGTGAAAGTCAGAATCTAGAAGGAGTCAAGGAGACTTTCCTTGGAGTTGTCAGATAACCATTGTCCACAGCAGTAAGGGCTTTTTGAAAGGGGATGGATGAGGGGTTTTTAAGTGACAGGGACAGAGCTGTTGCAGATGGGAGTGACTTATGGAAAGATGGGGAGTGAGGCAACAAGTGAAGTTCAAAGGGGGATCTAATAAGTGGTTTTCTTCATAAAAGAGAGATGCAAGATGGTACTTTCTGCTAACAGTATATCATTTCATAACTTTATACAGATCCACAAGGTCATAAACTGTATTCAGCTGGTATTTGTCATTTCACAGCTTGGCCAGACTAGTTTCTCATACAAGCAAAGAGAGCTTGTCCAACAGTTCTCTAGCGACTAATATTAAATATAGAAATCAGTATCCCAGCTTGTGTGTTAATAGCCATCCCTTGCTTCAGAACACAGATTCTAGTTAATGCTTAAATATAAAGCTGGCTTATTACATTATACACCAGGTTTTGCACCACTTTTTGAAGCTTGTGCCACTAATCTAGACTATCAAGTGTTTCACAGGCCATCACTGCTACTGACCATAATCGTGAACAGGCACAGTTTTTTACTGTAACCGGCCTAGAGAGGGTTGAACTTTGTGGATTGCTTGCTCCTCAGCCAGAACTGATCTTCCATAAAGGTGGCGATGTGTGCTCATAGGCCTTAGCTGTCACAGCAAATGTGCCATTTCAGTGACACAGTCATGTGCACGTGCATGAGTATTTGCACTGTGTCATATATAATGTTTCTTAATGGAGCATATGCTGTTTTGTATAAGGTAAATCCAGGCAAACACCAGGTACTGTTTAAAACTCTCCCAGATTCTGCACTCTACTTGGAGCTATTGGCTCAGGTTCTTAATGACATACCCTTACAGAGCTTATGCTGTGTATTCATTTTAGCTTTTTCACAACTCCTGCAGTCCCCCAGATTCCTGCAACAATTGCCTGTGAACCACAATCCAATTTGGTATAGCTAGTTATAGATTAACAATATCTCATTGGAACAAATCACCTTTTACATGGCACTTTTCAGATTGGGGATTTACAAACCATAGATAGGAACCATTTAATCTGCTGTTGTTACATTCACTGCTTGGGTATAAGCTGCTGAATAGGGATGTCAACGGGTAGTTGACTAGATGATTAATCAATAAGCGTAGGTTTATTGATTAATCTTGTCTACTACTCGCATTTCCGGCCCCCCTCCCTTGCAGCCTCTGTATCAGAAGCAGGAGCTGGTGTTGGCAGGGGGGGGGAGAGGAGGTGTCAGCCTAAAAGCTGGTTCCTGCCCTCCTCCCCCACGTGAGGGGGGGGCAGGAGAGCTTGATGCAAAGCAGCCCCTGTCCGCGAGGGTCTGAGCTCTCTGCATCTCCTGGAGCAGTCTCTGTCCATGGAAAGCCTGGGCCTCCTGCAGGGGGTCCGAACTCCTTGCAGGCAGAGACTGCTTGTCAGTAGCAGCCCCTGTCTGTGGCAGGCCCAGGCTCGCCACAGATAGTCTGCTCTGAGAGAATGCGGAGCAGCCTCTGTCCACAAGGAGCTCGGACCCCTGCGGATAGGGGCTGCTTTGCGGCAGCCTCCTTTGCCCCACACCCAAGCAGGGACAGGAACTAGCTTTTAAGATGGCTTCTCCCAGCCCCAGCTCCTGCTTCTGATACAGAGGCAGCGTTTTTTTTAAACTGCCTCCCTTTGTGAACCGGCTCCCCCTGCCATTCCATGCTGCTGTCTCTGATACAGAGGCAGCGGTGTGGGTTGATAGGGGGCTCCCCAGGAATAGGACTGGGAGCACATTGGCTGCCCGCCCCAGCCTTGGGAACTATCAAATAAGTGTATAACTGCTAAGATTTCATGCGGTTACACAACTGTTCAGTTACTCGATTGCTAACATCCCTACTGCCAAATGGCTAACAAAGCTTAGCAGTATTACTGTATCCAGTTGGCATGTCTTAGACTTTTATTGTCATAACAAAATTCCCACGTTTTGTCTGATCTGAGAAGAGATGCTTGGTATTGTCTGTCTGCTGGGTATCTCAGACAGTATGCATAGAGCATTTTCATTCAGTAAAATATATTGTTGATGGGATGAATTCCTTGGTGTGAGACATCTGCCAGAGCTTAAGCTGCAGGCAAGGATTTTTTCGTATACTTTCTATATGGTAACTGAATAATCTTCTATTGGTGAGTGCAGAACCCACAGGAGAGCTATCATAAAATCACCAGAATGATTCTTGCATTTTATTTCAGAATCTTTTAGTAACTAACAAGGATGTTAAATTGCGTTTATCTGGCTAATCATGTAGTTGATACAATTTGTGGGCCACTCAGGAGAGCTGCAGCAGGGGTAGCTCCAGGAGCCACCTGCTCTGTATTTTAGATGTAGTACATCGTTTCAAATACAGAGGCACAGTGTCCCAGACCAGCGTGAGCCGGACTGCTTGTTCGCAACTCATGCCGAGTCCAGCAGCCCCTGTTCGTGGCAGCCAGCCCTGTCCAGTGCAAACAAGGGCTGATGCTGGAGCAGCCTCTGTTCATGACAAACAGGGCCGCGGACAGGGGCTGGTGCCGGAGCTGGAGCAGCCTCCGACCATAGTGAGCCTCAGCCCGCTGTGGGCAAAGGCTGCTTCGCAGGACCTTTCCTATTCTCCCCACCCCTCTGCCTCTGAGAGGCAGCAAGGGCCAAGGAAGTGAGTAGTCAGTACTCCTCTCCGGTTACGCTTATCAGGTAGTCAAGTACTCGCTAACATCCCTAGTAGCTAATTGTGTGTACTGTCCAAAAAGAATTCCCAGTGGAGAATGGCTTTTGTTACCCTTAAGACTTCCCAAAGACATTAGAAACTGATGTCTGGAAAGTGCACACTGACATTTTTCTCCATTCAGATTATCTTCAGGGCATCCCTAATTTTCTTTCCCTTAACTGTGTTTTGCTAATTGCTGCCAGCTTCTCTTGCACTACTACATTTTCTGCTGCATGATTTGGCCCCTATTATGATTTGTCTGCTTTCTTGTTTGTGCGCTTTTTAAATATTTACGCAAAAAGGTGGGGGGGTTTTGTTCCTAGAAAATGAAAATTAGAAAGTAGTAGGACTCAGTCTTGCCTGAATATAATTTATTGTATATTTAAATTATCTTGAAAGGAATGTTGTAATCCATCAAGACTAAACTTCTAACAAGTGTATGCACTCTCAGTATGCATTTTCATCATTCTCAATTAAGACTATATCTGATAAATTTAATAATACAAGGCAACCAAACAATGCTTATCCAAACATACACAGATTGGTACAACAGATCCCTAGGACAAAAGGGGCATAAATCCATCGTAGGCCTTGTCTATGTGGATAGTTAGACCAAAGGGAAAGCCAATATGGAGGCTCTCATTTTGGTTTCAATGAGGCTTACTTCAGTTGAGCTTAAATTGATTACAGACAGATTTAAGTTAAACCGAGATGAGTCCACACAGGGCTTCCATTGTTTTAATTAAACTAGTGCAAATTTGTGTGTAGACAAATCTTTTTAAAAAGGGAGAGTTCTTTTCAGTCTACCTAGATAGCACATGTAAGATACTGGTTATCAGTACAGGCAGTCCCCGAGTTACGCAGATCCGACTTACGTCGGATCCGCAGTTACGAACGGGGTCCTCTCCCTGGTCTCCAGCAGACCAGGGAGAGGAAGCAAAGCGGCGGAACACGCGGGCAGCGGACAGCCCAGACACGTCTGAGCTGTCCGCTGCCCGCGTGCTCTGTGGCTTT